GATTCGTAACCACTACGCTACCAGAGCTCCTCTCTCCATTATAGAGGGTGGGTATAAGAGAGGCCTCTCAGGGATCGTGGGACAATTCCATTATCTCTTCATTACAGAAGGTGGGTATAGGAGAGGCCTCTCAGGGATCGTGGGACAATTCCATTATCTTTCCATTTTTCCGTGAACTTTGAAGCTTCCCCACATGCCAGGTGGGCTTGGGCACATAAGAGTCTAGTGAACTTTATAATCACCCCACCTCCCCAGGTTCGTTTACATTTAACATTGTCCACCAACCCGCTGTTCAGTGTTCAGAACTTTGCTGAAGAGCAGAGCACTGCTGTCATCATGAACATGTTGACGTGCCATCACGGGCAGAAAACGGGATTTTCGGGGAAGCAGTCTTTCCTCCGTACCCCAATTATGGCTGCGGAGTCAGTTCTAACTCCGTGAACAAACCAATCATTCACATGAGCAAGGTGAGGCAGGTTCGCTTCATTAGTTACCCCTGTGTCTGCTGTTTTTTCAAGGTGAGACCCACTAATCAGCCTTCATTTCTGATTCCGGTTCCCTCATGAGGCAAACCACCAGCTTTCAGCTTAACTGGAAAAAATGAGACGGGTCACAGGACCAGACCTGGCATCAGTCATGTGCGGTAGACACCAACATATGCCCAAGCCTGCCTTTTGACGTCATAGGCTGAGAACACCTCCCTAAGCCCCCGGGTGCAGTCCCCTTTCCCCGAGATGTACAGGCAAGGAGTTCGTGTGCCGAGTCCCCTGACGAACATCAAGCAGAACTAGTTGCTACCCTAGAAGGCCCTCAGAAAGACCCCAACCCAGCACCCTGGGGACCATCCTGGTAGAGTCCCTGCGCGCACCTTCATTTGGTACTGACGAAGCTTGTCTTTCGCTTTCAGTCCTTTTGTATCTAGCGCGCTGAGAGAGACTGGTAAATGGTTTATGATGCAGAAAAAGTGGTTCCTGTGTGGTTAGTTTCCTTGGGGTTCAGGCCATTTTTTTTTTTACATTACTGATTGAAAAAAACAGTCAGTGGTAAACCCATGTTAAATGTTATATACGACTTTTAATAATCATAAAAGCACCATATCTGGGACACGGAAAATAATACTCCACAGAACATGAGAAAGCTGTTGGTCAACAAGAAAGCAAGCATACATCCCATGAGGTCTTCTCTAGCCTGGTCACCTGCTCTGATTCCATTTGGATTCATAAACCCAGTTTCAGTATAAGGAACATTCTAGATTTATGGTAGGTACATTAATCCCACAGAAAACACCAACACGGCTCATCTTGACAGTGAGCACAACTTCTTGGTGCCAGTGGTTAAATGTTTACCACTAACCACACCTCGAAACACAGGCTTGGGTATCTACTTCCCAAACTCCTGCCGTTGGCAAAGCACGCTTCTCCAGCCCACACGGGGTCACTGTTGAGTGGGAGTCAACTCGGTAAGTAGGTAGCAACTGGCTACATGACCCATGTCCTGGAATGCCTAATTCCTTGCACACTCAAACATTTTAGGCTGTCAATACATTTATAGACATGTCGTTGTTAAGTGCCATTGAGTTGGTTGCAACCCACAGCAAAAACTATAGAGTGTTCAAGGAGTGGCTGGTGAGCTTGAACCACCGACTTTGCAGTTCAAACGGCTTTGCAGTCTGGCGCATTAACCCATAGCGCCATACCAGGACTCCATTTATAGGTATAAGCTTTTAAAAATCAGGTCATTTGAAAAACTGATGTCTTATGAAGACAGGCTTGTTTTACTTACACTTGTTGAACAGTGTTGTTAAATGCCATGGAGTCGGTTCCAACTCACAGCAACCCTGTATAAGGTTCCCCAGGGGTGGCTGGTGAACTTGAAATGACCACCTTGCGGTTGAAACAGACCTTGCAGTCCAGCACATTAGCCCATAGCACCACACCAGGACAATTGTTGTTAAGTGCCATGGAGTTGGTTCTGACTCATAGCGACCCTGTACAGGGTTTCCGAGGCTGTAAATCTTTACGGGAGCAGAAAGCCTCATCTTTCTCCCACGGAACATCTCGTAGTTTCGAACTGCTGACCTTGCAGTTTGCAGCCCAATTTGTAACCACTACGCTACCAGGACAATAGCCAATGTTGATTATTTTGTTATTGTTGAAAATACACACATCAAAACATACTGATTCAACCACTCCTGCGTGTCCAATTCAGTGGCGTGGAGACGAGTTAAGAGACCCCTCACCTTCTCTTCTGAGCAGCCCCACTGACACACTTGCCGCCCACCCCGGATTTTCCTAAAGACGGATTTTCTTTTGTAAGTAAGGAAAGCGTGCGCTGTTGTGAAGTGCTTTAGAGTCAGTTCTGACCCACAATGACCCCGTATAGGGTTTCTGAGGAATAGGGCAGAAAGCATGCACTGTTGTTGAGTGCCATTGAGTCGGTTCCGACTCCCAGCAGCACTGTATAGAGTTCTGAGGAGCAGCTGGTGGGTTTGAACCGCTGACCTTGTGGTTCACAGTCCAGTGTTGATCCTACAGCACCACACCAGGAGTCAAATCTCTAAGTGGCCCTCATTATTCGACAGTGGATTGTTGTGAAGTGCTGTCGAGTTGGTTCCAACTCATAGCAACCCTGTATAGTGTTTCTGAGGAGCAGCTAGTGAATTTGAACCACCGAACTTGTGGTTTGCAGTCCAGTACTGATCCTACAGCTCCACCCCAGGAGCCCATTGAAAGTGTACCTGTGGTGGTGGTTATGTTC